CCATTCGAATTGAAGGTAAACTGTTTTCATAGAAAGCCATGTAATTAAGAACGTCCGCTTTGCTTTCACGGTGTTAAAAATCCCCATTTTGGAGTCAACTTCCATCACAAAAATCCTCACAGTGTTCCTTAGGTCCTTGCATTGGTGTTGCAATCGGGTTGGCTTCATGGCTTATTGGCTTCTTTCCTGGGTACTGCTGTGACCCTTTCCTTGCGCGCGACGGAGTTGATCGAAGACCCCTGGCACAACGTCCTGCTGTTGTTGGACAACACCCAATTTGCATCGCCGTTGAGTTTTTGGACGGTGCTGATCTCGGGACTGTCCATGGTCTTGGGCTTGTGCTTGTCGCCACTACTACCCTTCAAGACACAAATGTGCCTGGGCAACTCTTGAAGATTGGGCTGGATTTGAAGGAAAAATTGCAGGAAAAAATGATTATGGTTCTACCATCCAGATTATCACATGTGGTTCATGTGGAATTGATTTTGGCTGCAAAACCTTGTTTGGTTTTTGCATCCTTTAGGCTCGGATGATTACTGTATCCAGTATCCAGTTCTATTCAAACGTCATTCCTTTCGAGGAACAATGATGTTTTTGTTTCTTCCAAGTCTTTCAATGCTGGGTCTCCTTGGTGACCATGATCAACATGATTAGTGCCCCAAAACTGGACCATTTTTTAATGTTGCCACTTGGAGATTGGCCTGTCAGGTGTTATTTGGATGCAGCCTGCATCCATTTGGGACAAGGCGAATTGTTTGAGCGGGGGATCTACAGCATTGCTGGATCTTTCTCCGTGGCAGAGGAGATGCGGGTCTTGTATTCAGAGACGCCTGGCACCGACTGGTGAGCAGATTAGGATATCAACCAAAATGAGGACTGAATTTGATTTAATTAACCATCAATAGATGGGATTTAATCAATGATGATCGTGTTTGTCTGAAAATTGGGTATACCCCCAGTTGATGGCCAAACATGTATTGGGGACATGTTGATTTCCCATTCAATTTCGTGGTAACTCTCAAATTTCTTTGACCAAATAGGTCAGTTTTCCCAGGCCAAACATGGAAATACATTATGTATGCCACTTCCGGCGCTGTTGTTTCTTTTGAGTAGCAAAACGCGCCTAACTAGCTCTGTGTCCGTGTCATTCCGGTGAGTGTTGCTATAGTTTTTGGGGATCGGAGTTCCATTGTCGCAGTATCATGGGACAGTCAAAACCCTTGGAAGATCAATCTGAACATTGGCATCTTGGAACCTTGCAAGACAGGTTTGTATACCCAGACTTTGCGGAATCTCCAGTGGTTGTATGGCCACTCCCATATGGGTGTAACCATGGCAGTGGATGTCGATTGCCCAGCAACTGAGGCAATACCTCTCGAGTTTGTGGTGTTTGTTCGAGCTTGTGGGATATCACAAAGCAAATCCAGAGGGTCGACTGGTCTTCAAACCCTTGTTCATCGAAAGGTCTGCCGCAATCTGTACCTTCTTCATCTGGTGTTTTGCGTTCTCAATCAATTTTGCAGTCACCTACACGGCAGAAGGATTCAGACAGGAATACATTGGCGTGATGTACCTGGTCACTTTTCTGTTGCCCCTGATCCTGCTTGTGCATTTTATGCGTCGCAATTACCGAGAAAAAGCGCGCTTGATCTTTGACTTGAAGAATTTCGAGCTTGACAGATACTTGGGTTTTAGCTGGGGCCGCAATCCGCCTGAAACTTGTTCTTGTCTTCCCGCAACTGGGGGAAATCTTGCGTGGCTTAGTCTATTTTTGGGCGATATCATAGACAGGGGAACATAATCTGGTTGGTGGTTTGGAACGTTTTTAATTTTTCCATATATTGGGAATAGTAACCCCAACTGACTTTCATATTTTTAGAGGGGTTGAAAGACATATTACATTATTGACATTATGGCCATTGGAATGGGGAAGCTGCTGGTGATTTCGCTCCGCCGAGGAACCACATGCGCCTCTGAGTTCGACCGTTCGTTTATCCTTAGTGCCATTGAAGCATGGTATGGCACCAGGGAGAACTTTCAAAACTATGTCCGGGGCCACTGCGTGAGCAACTTCTTCAGTTGTTCCCATCGCCTCATTTGCCCTGCAGCTATGTGGCCTTGATTCTATGCAGTATGATGGCTTATTCCTTAGACATTGGTCTGAGTATCTACAAAGCCGGTGCCAGCATGAAAGTGATTATGAAGCAGCTGCTGTGCATGTTCACATTTTTTGGCATTTGGTTTTGGGCTGCTTTCAATGGTATCTTCTACCTGAGTGACCGAACTGCTGGGAAGGACGCAACTGGCCAGCATCGCTCGAAGTGTCTGTGTGATTGCGGAAGAACTTCTCTGGTCGCCTTGGCAATCTTCCTGTGGACACTAGTGGGCTTTGCTGTCATGATCGCATGCATTCGCTCCACGAACTTGGTCTTCGCATGTTGCTGGGCGTTTCACTCAGAAATGGGAAATGCTTCAGAATCTATCATGCATATATTATATATATATATATATATTACATATATATATATTACATATATATATATATTACATATATATATATATTATATATAGGTTACACCCAACATCATATCCTTATTCCATCATTGATTGTATATCAATCTTTATGCATTAATGTATTATTCTCTATATTTATGTATATATCACATATATCACATATATATATATACATACATCATATTATACTCTGCAAATTGTGTCAGAACAAGTAATGACCTATAAATACAATGAAAGATGTATGTATATATATATGTATAGTGTGTGTGTCTGTGTGTCCAAATTCAGGTCAGCTGTTGCCAGCTTGGTGCCAGATTACGTACGGGCATCACCTTGTACTAGTACCCTCTGGTAAACATACAAAAAGCTATTGAAAATGGTGATTTATAGTTGATTTTCCCATTAAAAGTGGTGCTTTTCCATAGTTTGGTTAGTTTGCCAGAGGGTAACTACTAATAACTTTCATATTTAAATCCCGAACTGGTTCTGGGCATCAGGAATGGAAAAGTCCTGGTGAAACGGTTGGTGAAAAAAACTCAATTTAGGCAATTTCGGCTCCCCCCCAAAAAAATAGTTCCTGACAGTTCAAAGCACTCCCGGGCAGTTACGATCACACAGAACGACCAACAGTTGATCAACCAGGTTGTTACATCATTTTCTCCATGCTGATTCCCTGCTGCATCTTGGACGTTTTCAAAGTCTGTCGGCGACCACAACAAGATCAACCATTGGCGACTTCTTCACTATGACCAAGGCGTTGATTCATGAGCCCCAGCAAAGAAAAGATTGGAAAATGATGCATTTTTTAGATTTGGGTGTGTAATTTTAAAGTCTAAAAACGGGGTATAGCCATGAAACAGCCTCTAATTTCAGGGAGAAGGATGGAAAAGGATGATAAATCACTAGAATTTGGGGGGCCCTAAATTTTCAGAGAAACTCACCCAGCACACATTTCTAGCTCCAACAGCCAGGCAATTCTCGTGCAGACGATCTGACGATCTCTGTTCGCTGAGTGACCACACGGGCCCCAAACCCAACACGGGCATATCAATACCAATTGGGGGGTAATTGTTCTATGTAGGTATATATATATATATACGTATATATACGTATGCGTGTGTATGATATATAACTACTGTGTATATATAATATATATATATATATACATATACATACACATATACATACACATACACATATATACACATACATATATACACATGCATATATACACATACACATATACATACACATACGCACACATACACATACACATTCACATATACATACACATACACATACACATACACATACATATACACATACATATACATGTACATACACATACACATATATACACATACATATATACACATATACATACACATACACATACATATACACATACATATACATATATACATACACACATACATACATACATACATACATACATACATATATATATATACTGTCTATTATATATATATGTGGACTAGATAGATTCGAGTCGATTCGATTTGATTCGATAAACAAATAGCAGAATTATATCATTACATCTTTATATATCTGCGATCGGTACTTATCCAAGCAACTTGGCCAGAAAGTGTGATGGTTTTGGGGCCGCAGTTGCAAGCCAGACCAGCAATTTACCGTTTTACCCATAAAATTGGAATGTTGCAGTCACTTGCGCAGAAAATTGTCGATGAAAGCATAGATTCTTCGAGAAATGTTGGACAATTTTACCATCCGGTAATCAAACGTGGCAATAGAAAATCCCCTATCAATGCAATAATGGAGGTGTTAATAGGAAATTCATCAAAGAAGGATAATTTTCTATTGCCATGTTTGATTACCAGAAGGTAGCTATGCAGCCAGCCATTGCTTCGGGCAAACATTCCACACAGGTATTGCTGGGGAATGGTTCATTTCATACTGCCAGATAATAGATAGTTTCCACATTGATGAGTTCCTAGTCTCATCTCTATTGCGCCCACTACACAAATGTGTTTTTGTGGACGCGACACGCAGTTTTTTGGTCGGTGAATTGACCGATACGTTCCTCTTGCAAAAGGCCGTTTCCACCTGCTGACGGGCCAGGAATCAAAATTCCAGATATGGGGATTTATACAGGGTGCCCCCCCAGTGATGTTTGTTGGAGAACAAAATCCTCATCAAAATCCTTTGGATATATCTACCATAAGCCCAACAAAAATTGGAGTTATGTTCACCAACTTCGCCAATTGGGGGCACCACCTTTTGTGGATTTACATGGATTGATGTATTTGCTCATGGGGCATATACGTACGATTATCCCACCAAAAAGACGACAGGCGCGAGTCTGTTTTTCCAAGACCAGATCTGACCGCACGTGAGTACAATCCAAGTAGCCAATTAGGACCATTAATTGGTATTACATCCATTTCCAATACTAGATCCATATTTTTAATTTCCAATATTGTTATATGATATTAGATCCAATTCTATTAGGGGATCTATCCATTTCCAAGTAAATAAATTAAAGTATGCCCCCGGAATATGGGTTGAGAGTGTTTATCCAATCGCATTTATGGCATGGCATGGGCGAGAGGCATCCAGGCAATCAAACATCGCAATAGGACGTCAACGGATGTGCCATGGTCAAAAGTTATATTACGTACCCATATTACATACATACATACATGCATGCATGCATACATACATACATACATACATCCATACATCCATACATACATACATACATATATACATTAAATATACGTACATACATTTTACATATGTATATATATATACATAATATACAATTAATTTATATATATGTGTGTGTATACTCATACGGTCTCATATTGGGGAATAGTCATCAATGCAACAGGAACCTCCTTCCCCAACGATTCGGATGACCACACCCCATTCCATTTATTCCCATGGCACTCATGTCTGACATAGGATGACATAGGGAAGTCTCCAGTGATGGGTCCGTTAAAAAATATGGGCCACCCGGAAATGGCTTGTCATCATGTCTCATTAAAATTGCAAGTTTGGGGTAACCATCAACTAGCCATGAAAACCAGCATTAATAACTATTAGCCATTATTAATAACCCTATTATATAACCATTAAAAACCATAGTTATCTGATAGTCAGTATACCCCATTTTCAGACACACAGGAAAAAACCCTTATGAGCTATATAAATCCCTCATGTCTAGTGATGATAGAATCCCCTTCATCGGAAAACCACCATTGAATCACCATGCTTCATGTTTAAATCGCTCTGAAAGCACCCGTTTTTGGTGGGTTACCTTGAAATCCAGACGTTAGCAGGTCCAATCACTCAGCTACCATCGAGTCACCATAAAATCACCATTAAAAAAAAACATTAAACCATGAAATCACCATAAAATCCCATCTGGTTGGTGGTTTGGAACATGAATTTTATGACTTTCCATTCAGTTGGGAATGTCATCATCCCAACTGACGAAGTCATATTTTTCAGAGGGGTAGGGTCAACCACCAACCAGCATTATACGTGGCATGAAATCTCCCTGTAATCACCGTGAAATCTTCACGTCACAGGTATACCTTGAAAATTGGTTTGCCCATGTCCACCGACCTGGTCCGAGTGAAAGTGCACGTGAACGACGTCTTGAAGCACGGCCGTTGTTTCGGGCTGCCGGAAGCAGGGAGGTGCCAAATGGAGGTTTCCCGAAATGGGGGTACCCCCAGTCATCATCCATCTATAGATGGATTTTCCATGAAATAAACCATCCAGTTATTGGGGTACCCATATTTATGGAACCCCCCAAATGAGCCAATCTCCGGTATCAAACGTGAAATCCCCCTACAGGATGGTTTATGGTAGATATAACGAACTAGTTACCCTCTGGTAAACAAACATAGCTATTGAAAATGCCTTTTTTTAATAGGTAAATCAACTATTTCTATGGGCCATGTTCAATAGCTATGTAACAAATTACCAGAGGGTATTGGGGTTAGAATTGGAAAATCATGGGAACATTCCCAGGAAACCTCGTAAGGGAAATCCTCTGGCGAGGAGGAAACGTTTCTTCGCGACATCGTCTCGAAATGGAGTTTCCAGCAAGCCATGAGGTAATCCTCACTGAGTTACCCTCTGGTTATGACATTCACAGTTCGCCATGGAAGCCATGACCCATAGAAATAGATGGTGAACAACTGGGTTTACCTACTAATAGCATGGTGGATCTTTCCATGGCGAACTGTGAATGTCATAACCAGAGGGTAAGTCTTCAAAATGAATTTGCCCGATTTCGCTACAGTGAAACCCATGGCTTGGCCGGCCCCAACCGGCCAAGCGTTCGAGGAAATGCATTCTCAACTGGCTCGGAGCGTTAACCAGCGCTACTGCCGCCACTGGGTTCCCAAACATAGGGGATCCATGGGAATTGATGGGATTCTTGATGGAGATTCATAGGAATTAGCCCCTGGTAATTGAACACAGCCATCGAAATCCGTTTTAATATGTTTTTAGTAGGTCAATCATCAATGGACCATGACTATGTTAAAGTGCCAGAGGGTATATGGAAAAATTTGGAAACCAGATGGAAAGTAAATGGTTATGGCAAGTAAATGGTTCAAGGATATTCGATGAGTTGATTTGAAATCCAAACTGCAGTTTGCGATGGTTTGGATGTCGCATTTAGAGATGATTCAGGATATCTTTGTGAAATCCGTAGAAATTTCGAAAACTGTGGGTCATTACCAGAGCTTATTTCGGAATTGTCACTTACCCTCTGTTCAACTAACATAACTATGGAACATCACCATTTTTAATGGGTAA